TAGTATGTAGAATAACTATTGTAGTTACCAACATGGCATTCAGTAAAATGGGACAGCCATTGCTTATATAAACTTTAAAAAGCAGACAGAACAGATTCCTTGGCAGCCCAAAGAATGTCTGTCTTAAACCTGCAGCTCCTTCCAGTGAAACTCAAGGACCATGCAGGCCACTTACCTTTGCCATAATTGTACTTCTAATTACTGTCAATTGAGTGTTTATTTTATTCCAGGTTCTGTGTTAAGCTAATTTTTAAAACAACCCTGTGAGGCAGTTGTCATGAACATTTACCGATGGCTGAGTCACTCCAGTAGCCAGGAAGAGCTCAAGCTGTGATTTCAGTCAGACCTTTGACTGCAAAGTCCCTGGTGTGACCCCCCCACCCCGTCACAGGCCTTTATTACTGACTATTGCTTGGAATATTCTAGACGATGAAATAAGACACGAAAAAGAAATTAAACCTGTAACTATTGAAAGGGGAAAAATAATGTTATTATATTGTAGTCGATAGCATTTGGGAACTTAGAAAATCTGGAGGACTTTATGAAATTATTAGCATAAATAAAATATTAGATGATCAGACGAAGGAGTTCTTATTCATCCTCAAGAAAATGTTTTTGGTGAAATGGCAGGAAACTTACAATGACCCAAGAGACTCTTTAATGAGACCTGAATATTTCAAAAGGATAATTCACAGAGCAGGGAGGACGGGAAGGGCAACACCTGTGAGCTGCTGGTCACATCAATTGATCAGTCTTTGTAGCTACCTTTCAGCTAGGAAAATATCCAGGAAGAAAGATCCCAACCATAATACAAATGCGACATCACAGCCCAGTGACACAAAGTACCTAAAAATAAGCCAAACAAGAAACTCTGGGAACCTACATGATGAAAACAAAAAACTATAACTTAGTCAGGACTCCCTTCTAGCCTTTGGGATATGTCACTTCGTGGTTGGAAATTGACAATGTTGTAAAATCTCAGCATCCCCTCAAAATTAATTCATAGGTTCCAGAAAAACAATTTCAATGGTGTTAAATTTTATGTCCTTTTTTTTTTCTTTTGGTACCAGGGATCAAACTCCAGACCTTGTGCTTTCAAGGCAGGTGGCGGAACCACTGAGCTAAATCCCCGGCCCTTAAACTTTATATCTTAAACCAAATCAAAATTTAAATGGAAGAATGTATCAGAAATAAGTGCAAAGAATTCTGAGGGAAGATTAGAGAAACTTTCATCACTAAACATGCTATAAAATATGATATGAGAGCAAGGATAGCTAACAAGATAATTGACAAATAGTCTAGAAACAGACACTTTTTATGCATAAATATTAGGAATGAGGGAGCATCAAAAACTTATAGAGAAAAAAGACTCCTGAATAAATGGAATTGGGACAATTGATCTTGTCTTCTTAAAACTTTCTCTAGTATTAAAAAAAATCCGCCTGAAGGTTGGAGACATAGCTCAGTGGTAGAACATTTGCCTGGCATGCATGAGACCCTGGCTTATGTCTCCAGGACCACAAAACAAAACAAAATCTTTCAACATGAAAAACAACCAACAGGTTGGAAATATTTTCAGAAAATATGACATTGCTCTAATTTAGTATAAGAAAGAATCATACAGTTAGGCAGGGAAGCTACTCTGGATCTCAGTAGAGGAGTGAGCAGAACACCACAAATGTAGTGTGTTAGTTACTTTGCTTGTTGCTGAGACAAAATACCCTACATCTAAAGTTAAAGGGGAAAAGGTTTATTTAGCTTACAGTTCATAGAGGTTTCACTCCATAGTTGGCTGGCTCCAACGCAGGCTGGCAGAGCTGCAACAGTTTATAGTGGACAGACAGTAGCAAAGCAACAAGATACCTTAACAGCCTCTTTCTGCCCCTTTTTATCCTATTCAGACTACTTAGGTCAGGCAGCACTCATGCCCTTAATCCTAGTGCTCTCAGGCCTAGCCCAACCTTGAATTGGTCACATACTAGATTCAGCCACCTCTGAAAAGCCATGAGGTTTTTGAGGGACATCTGAACACAAGTCGTAACTTGTAGTTTATGAAAGAAGCAACAAAACCTGAGCGAGCCAAACCTCAGGAAGTACTGTGTGATGGTGTGGACATGGGGACCTGCCATCCCTCTGATAGTGCCCATTTTGTCCCTCTGGTCGGGTGCGCTAAGCCTTTCGTTTTCAGATTAGCTGGTATCGTCTGTGCATTAAGCTCATTTGTTCCCCTTCCTGGATCCCAGAGCCCTGGCTTCATGGCACATGAGATCACATGCAAACACTGTGCTTCTCTCTGAGCTCATTATGTCACAGGCAATGTAAAAGCTCTCCAAGATAGGCACTCCTGTGTCCATCTGTCAGCTTGCACATGGTCTTTGTCCCTGGCTGGGAAGCCACTGGGGTCTGCACAGTGGGATGGGTCAGAAGAGGCTGGCTATGGGCTGCTCTTTGGCCAAGCAGGCAGCTTACACAGAGAGAGCAGCCAGAGAGATGTGGAGATAACCTCAGGATGGGCCTGTCCCCCTGCCAGTTGTGGTCACCTAACCCCTCTTCTCCTGAGCCCTGCATGTCTGAGGAAAGGATTGGATCCTCAATATCACCCCTCCCTTGCAGTGCCAGCAGAGGTATTGGGAAGCTTTACCTTCTGCAGCTTGTATAAAAAACAATTGGCATTTTTGTTTCCCAAAAATAAAATTCAGTACACATTGCACATTGCCTTCCACCTCTGAGCTAGAGCATAATTGGGACAGAGAAGGATGAACATTTCCAGGTGTACAGATGATGGCCAAGATCAATTCTAGTCTGAAATTTTCTTGACTCAGAGGTGAAGGTGAAGTAGTTGGCTTAAAACTTGGTGTCGCATGCCTATCCTCCCAGCAATTGAGAGGCTGAGGCAGAAACGCTATGAATTTCAGGTCAACCTGGCTACACAGTGAGTTCAGAGCCAGCCTGAACTACATTGTGAGACCCTGCCTCAAAAAAACCCCAAAAAACAAAAAAAAAATACTGAAACTAATGTTGTGTGGAGCTTTAGCTCAGCAGGTAATAAATTTTAAGTTTCCACAGTTAGAGACATTTTTGATGCACTGAGTCAATCAGAATTAAACTTCTTTATAGAAGACTTCTTGGTTCATTTTTTTTTGCTCAAATTCTTTTATTGGTACATGTTAGGTATACAATACATTTCCATTTGTCATTGGGTGCTTGTGTCTGTACGTGATGTATCTTGGTTCTTATTTTTTCCTCATTACCTGTGTGCCCTTCACCCCTCCACCCTTCCCTATTTACATACTTCGTTTCCATTTTTTTTTTCTTTTCTCATGATTTTTCCTTTCCATTTTTTCCTTTTCCCCTCTCCTCCCACCACCCCTACCCCTTTGGACCTTTTCCTGTTTCAAAGTATCAATTATTAGTTATTAATCCTTTTAATCCTTATTTACACTCTCAGTTTAAAGCCAGGTTGGTCTCTCCAAGAAAGAGGCTACGAGAACAGCTTTTTCCTGACTCCAGGGTTTGGCCCCATGGAACCCTTTTTCCCGGAGGACCCTAAGAGACTGCTGTTTCCTTTAGGAAGTGGTGACTTTCATTTCCACTCCTGTTTGTTCTAGCAGTGATTGTGCCCTTCATCTTTGGAACTTTATATGTTTTAGCCTCCATTTAAAAAAAATAGATAAATGCTTATCAGAAGCGTGCAAATGGTGAGGCTGTCGGGTCACCATTCCTACTCTCTGGCTGTTATGAGCTCAGCACAGTGCTTGGCTAAGGGGAGAGAATGGCTGTCAAAAGGGAACTTTCTCCTTGAGCATTTCTCATTGTGTGGAGTGCTTAAAAACAAAATGGTAACGTTTGCAAAGCTTTGTGAACATTGCAGAGAGGCCGAGTTAGGGTTTTGTTTATTAGTGTTGGAAAACTCTTCCAGGAGTTGTGAGTGGAAGAGTTCAAGCTGACCTTTGATGTGTTTATTAGACGTGGTATCTTTGGACCTCACTGTGGACAGCTGTGTCCCATGACTCTGGCTCTGCTGGGAGGAAAGGGCAGGAGCCGCACATCATGCTGCACCGCCGGCATCCTGGGCTTGCAGCGCCATGTTGTCTTTAATAGGGTGGTTTCTTTGAAACCAGGATGCTTTACATGGCCTCAGGGAGCTTCCTTGTTGCCCAGGATGCACAGGAAATGTGCCCTCATCTGAACCACCTTCTTCCTCTCTAGTATTTGTCATCCTGGTGAGGGAGAGCCAGGGGCCTGGGTCCCTCTTGGTCCCTGGCTCACCGTGCTGCCTGGCCTGATGCTTTCAGAACCCCAGACCTCACTGTCGTTGTCATGCACGGGGAGCCAGGCAGGGCTTCTGAGTCCTGAGTTCTGTGTGGGGGCCAGCTTTTTCCTTGAGCAGTGTCGGGGCAGGGCAGAGCATCAGCAGTGCTACTGCAGGGCTGTGACACCTGGGGAGGCTGCACCAGTGGTTGGCACCAGTGGCAGCTCCCCTGGGTTCCTAACCATCTTACCTGCTTCCAGGTGACCCTGAGGCAGAAGTCCTTGGGGAGAGCTGCCATGCTGCACTAGTTCTTCCTTCTTCCTTCATTTCCTTTCTTTTCTTTTCTCTTTCTTTCTTTCTTTCTTTCTTTCTTTCTTTCTTTCTTTCTTTCTTTCTTTCTTTCTCTCTTTCTTGGTACTGGGGATCGAACTCAGGTCCTTGTGCTTGCAAGGCAGGCATGGTGCCACTGAGCTAAATCCCCAGCCCTACACTAGTTCTTTCTAATGGCTGATTTGAGCATTAAGTTCGGGAGTTCTGCCTGGAAATGTCCTTTTGGAGGAGAAAAGCAGTGCCCAGAGAAGGAAGAAGGGTCCACCTGAGCCCTGTACTGGGTGATAGCTGAGCAGCTGCAGTACCCTGGCCTTGCGCTCCCCTCCAAGGAGTGCTACCAGGACCCCAGGGCAGCTTTCTTGCTTGTTACTGGGTTTTTCTGGCACTGATAAAAGCTCTTATCTTTGCTGACTTCCAGAAATGGCTTCTGACATACCTGGATCAGTGACGTTGCCTGTTGCCCCCATGGCGGCCTCTGGACAGGTGAGGATGGCCGGGCCCATGCCTGCCCGAGGAGGAAAACGGCGTTCTGGGTAAGCAGCCTCCACTTCCAGGAACTGGACTTAGTCAATGTTGTGCAATGTCCTTGACCTGTTAGGAAAATATTGTTTTTCCCTCTCTTGCAGAAGAAAGACTCAGCAGTTTCCATCTTGTTTAGATTTTGCAAGATTTCTAAATAGGCACATGATTTTCTTCTAAGTGTTGGGGCCTTGGCACCTTGCTGGGACTTCGGTTTGCTTGTCTCTGTGGTGAGAATGTGCTCTCTGGGCGTCTCTCTGAGGGGAGGGACTTACCTCTGGCCCTGGGCACTCAGGCCCGCTGTGCAGCTGAGTTCCAGCACTGGGCTGGAAAGGCTCCACCCAGGGCCTCCTTTCTTCTGGAAGGTGCCTGACTTTTTATAGAATGGGCTGAAGCACCTCAAGGCCAGGCTGTTTGTTGCAGGATGCTGCTCAGCTCCCGTGGCTGCTGACAAGTGGTGTAGTGTGTACTGGTTCTGATGAGGCCAGGCAGACTGCCACTCGGGCAGTTGGAACCGGATGCTGCCTCTACTAGATAACATCTGTCTCTATACAGAGAATTAAAACCAAAATGAACAGCTAAAATCCTGCAGGAAAAGCAGAACTGGCATTTTCAGACTCAATATACCCCTAGCCCGGTTCCCTACTGAGTCCATTTTATTTTTAATGACATATTTGATAAACACAGTTTCTTGTGCAGTTGAATAACTGCCCTTTTAATGCAATTTCTGATAACAAAGGGCTCCTGTGACTGCAGCTGTCCAAGTAGAGTAGAACACTCTTCTCACAGCCGAGCCCTGGGGTGCACGCAGGGCCCAGGGCATGGGGAAGGTGCTTTACCACCCAACTATACCCCGGGCCTACTTTTTAGTGGTCCAGCATTTTCAGCTTGAGAGAATCTTAAACAAGCGTGATTCTTAAAGGGGACAGAGGCAGGGGAAAGGTAAGCATCAGCACGTAGGATGGAGGGAGGGAGGATGCAAAAGCTGCCCAGCATCGGATTTTAGGTAATAAACAACTGATGTGTGTAGTGTCATCTTTGAAGGAGGCTCTGAGATTTCATAGACATTGAGAGGGTTGGAAGGGCTGCAGAACTGAGTGCAGTGGTCCTGCCAGTGTGCCTCGACCCAGCACACTGGCTCTGCTGCCGATGCAGCTGTCCTCTGCCTATGTTGTCACTTCCCCCATGGTAGGGCCAGTGGAACTGATGTGGGTCATGCTGGCGCCCAGGCGGAGCACCTCAGCTCAGGGGTAATAAAAGCTGTAGCTTGCCACTGGGGCTCACTGCAAAGCATATTTCCCATTTTAACCTGCTATACTTGCTGAGCATTAAAGCTCAGCAGAGTCTGGGATCTTACAAGAATGTGTGTGTGTGGTGTCCACATATAATTATTATAAGCGTTATGTACTCTGACTTGCAGTCAGGGGAAACTGCCCCTTCTCCTGTGAGTTGGTCTGTGCACAAGATCTGGCAGAGAGACCCTGAGGCAGAGCTCAGCATTCCAGGCTGCTGGAGCAAGGAGGCAAAACTTCAAAAGTGAGAGTTGGAGTGGAATGGGAACACCTGCTGTCATAGCACCCAATGGGGAGAGCCAGCATGGTGCCTTTGACCTTGACCCCTGGGGGCCTATCCTCCCAGTTTGGGTCCCACCCTCACCCAGGCAGATGAAGGAGCAAGTTAACCAAGGCTCTATTTGCTAAGCCTGTGTGATTTAGGGATTCATCCCATGTCTAAGCATGGGAACAGCTGTTTTTACAGAGCTATTTCCATAGTAATTCTTGCATCTGACATTTTTATATGTTTTGCTGGAATTCTTCTATCAAGTTCACCATTGCTCTGGTGGAGCCTATTGGTAATAATCTCAGCTACTTCCTAAACACCTAGCTCAGGGCACAAGAGACCCAAGTGGGGGCCATAGTCATCAAAAAGATAACCCTGCAGCAGAGCTGGCACCACCTGCTGTCCCTCTCATTGGCATGGTGGACCCCAGTCTCTTCTTCTCTCCCAAGATTGTGGGGTACACTTGGGGAGATGCAGGGAGAAAGAAGTACCATAGACAATGACCTCCCCTCCTGCCAACCTCCTTGCTGGGGCTCTGCTCTCTGGCCTGGTTGGCTGGCAGAGAGATGGCTCAAGTTTTCAGGACAATCACCCATCCTGCTGTAGCGTTTCAAAGCCAGGTAGAACTGACTCTCAAGGACTTTGAATCCCCCTGGCTGCACTTGGCCCAGAACCGAGATCCTTTCTGTGCCCTCCTGGCCTCCCCTGTAACTGTCCCAGTGAGCCGGGCCTCTCCTGGCAGCTGCAACACAGGTGGGATTCCGAGGGCTCAGATTTGTCCCACCATGATTCCTTGTGAGGAGAAATGGGCTGCAGCAAGTCACTGAGATGCACTCTCTTGTTGCCTCCCTGATCCCAGTGAGGGGTGGTCCACAGGCCACAAGCTCCATGCCTCTAGGGTTAGGGGAAGCAGTAGTGTTGGTGACCCCTGTTGGGGTTGGAGGGTTTGGCTGAGGACAGGGATGTACCAGTTTGTTCTGTAGCCCTGGAGCCCTATTCTGGTCTCAGATGTCCTTGCTGAAGGACAGACTCTGTGTGCCCAGAGACCACGTCCCCTCTGACACCTATGGCTGCAAGTGGATTTATGTAAGCAGATGTCACTAGGCTGGCATTTATACCCAGACTGGGGGTCCAGGCTCAGAGGGAGAGCGTTTTCCACACCCTGGTCATGTGGTTTTTTTGGCAGGGGATTCGGGCCATGGTGGCTGGACCCATCTGACAGGCACGGCCTTTTACCTTTTCTCTTTAGAGCCTGAGGTGACCTGGCCTGATGACTTCCCTTTGATGGGGCACTGTTATTATTTCACAACTGCTGGTAGGAGATTGGCATCCCCCAGCTATAACTGGCAGCATGCTCAGAAATGCCTGTCCTGTCTGTGGTGAGCCCCAGCAGTGCTGTGACAGGACAGTGAGGTTGGGGGGTCCTGCTCACCTAGTAAATGCTCTTATGTCACCTGCTCACTGCCCTGGGTTCTTTAATGTGAATACAGTAGGGGTGGGAGTCATATTTTCATTTCTTCTTTATTATCCAGATGTTTCAGTACAGTAGAGACACATACAAGATGTAAAACAAAGGTTGATTTACTTAGGCTTTTTATAGCAGAAGAAATAAGCATAGCTTATTGTAGGCATATTTAAAATAGAGTTGGGCAGGTGACAGAGACCCACAGGTGGTGTCGTTGCAAGTGTTGCTCTGAGAGATACTTTGTGTCCTTGGACTTGTAACATCTCACCCCTCTGCAACCTCTGTTACTAGGGATTGAACTCAGGGCCTTCACACTGAGCTCTATATCCTTGGACCATTTATTTTTTCTTTTTAGAAAAGGTCTCATTAAGTCACTAAATTGCCCAAGCTCGGCTCAAAGTTGCAGTCTTCCTGTCTTGACTTCTTGAATGCTGGGATTACAGGTGTGTGTCTCCGAACCTTGGCTACATTTTTTGGCTGTGTTGCAGATAATCCGGTGAGACTGTTTTGGGGTGGGGTGAGCTATCCTGATGATTTGACAATCACATGGGTCCTGATTTATCTCCTAACTTGGTTCCCATGTTGCGCTTTTTCCATGTACTAAATCTGATGCTGCACACTAGAGTTACGTACAGACACAGGGGTGGCACAGATCAGAGCTCCTAATTTTACATAGACAAATCCTGGTTCTCAGGTTCTCGGTGGACTTCAGACTTCCTGGGTCTATCCTGACCTGGCCAAGCTGAGACCCCGGCACACAGCACATTTTCCCATAGGTCTCTGCTAAAACGAGGTGACCAGGTGTCCTGGTTTACAAGAGTCTCTCAGTTTTAGCATTGAAGTCTTGAGTCCCAGGATCACTTCAGTCCCTGGAAAATGGGGACAATTGGTCACCCTAAACATCCCAAGGATGTGCAAGCCAACAAGGGAGGATTACAGGAGCCTGATGATCACATTCACTGTCAACCTGAGCTGAAAGGAATTTTAAAGATAACCACGTATCTCATGCCTATCAGAGGTTTTGATAAATACTTGCATGAGCTCTTCGAAATTTTTGCAGTGCTGCTTTTTAACACTGACATGTTATTGATGTGGGCAGCGTTACTGCTCTTCCTCACTGTGAACACTGGGTGGCAGTGTGACTCTGGTGCTGCAGAACGCCCATGAATTTGGTTACAGTGTTTTTGGTGGTTAACTCCCAGATGTAATTTCCAGGAAGGCCAGGTGAGGGCTTGGTAATTATGCAAAATATTTATGGATTTGCTTCATTTTAAAATTTATGCACTCAGCTCCCACTTGTCCGCAACACAGAAAATTCTGCGGCCAGCATCTAGAGCCTGTTTTCCAAGTTTCAAAGTGGGATGCATGTCTGGTGCTGGGAAATGGTCTTTGCCTGTTCTTCCCCTTCCCTCTCCCTTTCCTGCCCACCTCCCCTTCCTTTTGTGCAGAGGTATTTCTGTCATCATTACAGCCATCTTTTCCAACTATCTGACTCCTTTCGTTGTTATTCTTAGCAGTTAGGACCACACCCTTGTCTCAGAACTATGGGCCCAAGTTGACAGGGTTCCATCCGGTGGTGCTGAACAAACTCATGCCCAGATTAGAACTCTGGCTGCACTGCACATTTAACAAGACACAGACAAGCGAAAGATACTGTTTATAAAGGAAAATATTCCTTTGCCTTAGCTGGTCCCAGTCCTGAGGTCCTCCAGGTTACCCCAAAGCCTGGTGCATATGGTTTGTCTCATCAGGGGCCTCCTGGGGGTGCTTACGCACAAAGGAGAGGGCTCTTCCTCTGCCACCTGGCCATTTCCAGTGGCCTGGAGGCTGGTGCCTTCTTCAAGTCACTTTTAGCCACTAAAGTCCTGCCCTTATGTCTAGAGCATGTGCTGACCAGACACCAGAGCTGTGTGTAGTTGTGAGTTCTCTGTTTTTAGGATGAGCTGCTCAGACCCAGAGTTTCTCAGTCAGGCAGGGCAGAGTCCTTCCAACTTGGATCCCTTGGGATTGGTCCCCACATCGTCGTCCATCAGGAATTCCCACACCCTGGTTATCCAGGAGAACCAAAGCAACTGTCCTTTTCTCATTTTCTTCCCCCAAAGACTCTGGGGTCATTTGATGCCAATGAAGTCCCCTCTCTACCCTGACACCTTCAGTGGTACTATTAGATGATATTAAAGAGGCTTAGTGCTTTTGAGAGGCAGAGTTTGGGTTGTTAATTAAGTCTCCATCAAGACCGTGTTTAACGTTTATATAGAAAGGCCCAGTAAAGTGGAAAGCTGAGTAATCATTTGGTGAGCTTTAACAAGCAGACAACCAACTTGAATGACGCAGGGGACAGCCATGTTCCCCTATTACTTTGCTCCTGGACTTTATAGGACGATGACCTTAAATGTCCTTTTCATTGAGACTCAAGACCTGCCAAGTTTCCCCCAGCACAAGCACGACCAGTAGAATATTTGCTGTTCCTTGCTATCTCTTCATCACCCTTAAAACTTCTGGTTTTCAAAATCCCTTAAGCTTGTTTAGTCTGTTAAGGTACGTAAAAATAAGAGGTAAGAAAGAAAGTGTCAATGTAGAATAAATGACGTGGAGCAGGCAGGTTTCCCCAAAGACGGTAGGAGAAAGAGCTCTCACGTCTCCAACACACAGCCTTAGCAATCTATGGGTGGCCTGTGTAGGGTTCTGGGGACAAGGTGGTGGATAGCTAAGTATACACAACCATGCAGTTACTCGCACTCACACTGAGGACCTTTCCTGTCTCGAAGCTGAGTGGTGACTGTAGAGTGAGTTACTGCCTTTAGCACTGCCCAAGAGTTGAGCATGATGGAAGCTGGTGGACGGAACAGAGCTCTCCTGATTCCCATGTTCTGTCTGCCCAGAACCACTGCTCACTTGTGACCTTGACTTTGCAGAATGGACTTCGATGATGAAGATGGTGAAGGGCCCAGTAAATTTTCAAGGTAAGTTTGTTTCACTTTCCTTAAAGAAGTCAGTACCCATTGCTCACATCACCGGATCTCACAGAGTTGGTGTCTTTTGTCACCGGGAGAGTCATTGCCCGAAGTGGGGTCCCCCTGGTCATCCCTCATCCCGTGCCAGTGGTTGGCCCAGTGGCAGCCAGCTCTTAGCAACCCTGCTGTGTCCCAGCCTAAATGACCACAGGTTAAGTAATGAGTTCTTAATTGTCTTTGCTTTTTAGTTAAACAATGACTACCACTGTTATGAATCCTTTTGAAAAGATAGACCTGGATTTCGAGTTTAGGAAAAACTAAAAGATGAGTCCTCTTTCTTTATCCATTAAGTTTATTGGTAAATTGTAGGTATAAAATACAGTTACATTCATCATTGGGAATTGTACCTTTACATGATGCATCTTGGTTCTTATTTTTTCCCCATTCCCTGCCCTCCCTTCACCCCCTCCACCCTTCCCTATTTACAGAGACTTTGTTTCCATTTTTTTCCTTTTCTCATATTTTTTCTTTTCCCTTCTTTCCTTTCCCCTACCCCTCCCACTTCCCCTACTCCTTTAGACCTTTTCTTCCTATTTCACATTATCAATTATACATTTTGATCCTTACGCTCATGCCAGAAAAACTATTTGGTATTTACACATGTGTATCCTATTAATTTCACTTAAGAGTATGGCCTCAGTGTGCATCCACTTAGCTATAAATGTCTCTCAGCCAAGATGAGTCTTCTTTTTCTACCATGTAAAATAAAGAGAAACGTGAGAGACATGGGTGGCCCTGCTCTGGGCTCCGGACACAGAGTTGGTTTTGAGTCCCTAAGAGTGCATTACTCCCTGGCCGCCTGACAGCCCATAGGCTGGGTCTGTAGGGCCCTCCTTGCTGAGGGGACCTGGGCCATAGGTGCCATTGATGTTATTTATAAATGTTCAGGACACAAAGGATAAGGTGGACCCAACCCCGAGGCTCTTTTCTCCCTCTTTGGTTTGTTTTGTGTAATGCATGTCAGGAAGCGTGGCAGTGTTACAAGGAAGGCACAAGTCCTCCCATCGCTCCTAGCAGAATGTGCGCCCATTACTCATGGAAGGGCCTTGATGTTCCTCCCCACCACCCAAGCCTCCCAGCCTTGTTGCTGATGAACTCGAAAACATGCTGCAGGTGCTGCCTGCTTTCCTCCTGTATCCATACCGCCCTGTCTGGACTGACCGCCCGAGTTGTTTAAGCTGGTTTTGAGAAGAGCGCTGTCTACACTGAGCCTTGGGCCCACTGCAAAACTCGCTTGCTCTTCCCCAGGGAGTTGGCTTTGCGTCTTGGCTTTTTTCGCTCATAACCAAACTAGCTGTGAATTAAACACTTTTCCTCACAAGTCCAAGAAGGCTGACCCTTATTATTCTTCAGGGATTCCATAGTGAACTTCTTGTCATTCCATAAATGTTTCCCCCAGGAATGTGTCCATCCATTTTCCAGCCTCACTTTGGGTGAAACAGGAGAGAGGAGATGGGCCTCATTTCAATCACTAACAGCCTTGGGGTTTCTAATCAAAACAAGACGTGGGGTTCAGCAACAAAAGCACGTACTGTTCTCCCTTGGTGCAGACAGGACCTGGCCTGGGCATCCCCGGTTTCTGAGGATGTGTCTTAGAGGCAGAGAGTGCTGTGTTCCCAGAGAGGAGTTAGCCTTGGAAATGAGGGCCCAGTCTCCCCACCCTGGCTGGCTCTTGCCGTACACAGCCTCCCTTTATAAAGAAACAATGGCTTCGGTTCCTCTGTGTCAAAAATCACCCTTGAGATGACAGTTCTCAGCCTGTCAACCTCAGGAAATGATGATCCCAGAATCTCAGGACATAAAGAGGAAGAGAGATGAAGAGTGACATTTGCTTGACGTTGAATATCTGTGTCAGTGATGAAATAACTAACCAGAGGGACAAAGAGCTCCTTGTCCGGTGCTCAAGCACTAAGAAATAGAAACGCTGTGTCACTCCTGATCTGTGAGCCTGTGGGGGAGTCACGTCTTACACAGCTCCTCTGAACCACATCGTTTCCCTTCACGTTAAACACAGGAGGAAGTTGGGACTCGCTTCCAGCCCCAGCTCCTATGGGTTGAGCCCCTAGGTCCCCAAGACCACCTTCCTCCATAACAGTGGCCCCACAGCTGATGGGAGAGGCTGCCAGTGCTTCCTCGGCTTTGCCTGTGGCTGTGGCCTTGTCCAGGGGAGGAGGCTGAGGCTGCACACTGTCCCCATGCATGTCCCCAAGGGAGGCACACCTGGCCAGTCCTGTTTGCTGTCCTCCGCTCACTGTCTGTCAGAGGTTCCCCCTCAGGTGAGGCCCTGGAAGAGATGGAGACTGATGGAAGCCAGAACTCACATCTGCTGTTGGCTCTGACCTGGGCAGTGTGCCGTGTCATGATTCCTGTGTCCTGATGTGTGCTTGGTCAGCTTTCCCAGCTTTCCTTGAGGATGGTCCCAGATTTAAGTGTTCTCTATTTGTCATCATACCTCATGTCTCATCTGAGTTGGGAAATATGGTTGTCAAATAGAAGCTAAGTCATCACCCAAATGGTGTGGTTCCTCCCGATTGCAGCTGGCCCATCATGGCAGGCCCCATAGAACAAAGCAGTAGATATGAAGCTGCCTGCTGCCGCCTCATCTCATGTGTGCACAGGCACAGACATACTTCTGTGCGCACAGACACACATGCGTGCACACACATATATGGACACATAGACATGCATGCATGCACACACACAGACATACACACCTGCATGCAGACACATGGGCACTCCGGGATTCCACCTTTCAGGCCAAGACACACTTAGCCTGCTTCCCCGAATCCCAATGGCTGGGCTTGCATGTTCATGCTGCTTTGGGGCTAGGACCTTCAGGGACAAGACTTTGTCAGCGTTAGACATTTAACCACCCTGGGAGTCACAGGGCCTTCAGGGACAGAACTGATTGCAGTGCACTGAGGACTGATTGGCAGATGAGGGGACGGCACCACACACTGCATGTGGGTGAGACAGGAAGAGGGCATGTGTACTCAGGGAGGAGAACTTTCCAGGTGTGGGAAGCCTTGAGCTCATCTATGCGAGGAGGAGAGGGTGAGCAGAGCCAAAGGTTTGGAAAATTCAGGAATGGCTGGGAGAGACAAGTCCAGAGAGTTGAGGGAGGCAGGGGTGGCTCCAGGCTCCCAAGAGGACCGCTTGTGATCTGAGGTAGAGGAAGGAAACACAGATGCAGGTCAGTGTGAAGATGGTAGGTGAGCTGGAAGTGGAGACAGAAACTCTGATGGTTTTTATTTTCTTGGTTAAGTAGGAATTGGAACCATATGTGGAATATGGTCAAACATTTAATAGTGTGCGTGAGAGGGGAAATCTGGGGTGCCCTGGATCGATTCAAAGGACGCCTACAGAAGTAAAGTCTTTAGGGTCCATTTGAAATTATGGGCCACAAATGTGATTGGCACCATCATGTCCGTCCCCAGTGCCGCCTGGCTGGCTGGATACAGGATCAGACTTTCCACTGTCCCCTGGTTTGGGACGGAGCGGGTGCAGTGAACAGTGAGGTCGTGTGGTTAAGGCATTCATGGGAGGTTCCTGAAGGGACCAAGCTGGAGGTCCGGCTGCCGAGAGAACTGGGAGGAGAAAGCTGAGCTTGTGGGATGAAGGGAGAGGACCAGAGACTGGAAGGGGAATGCAGTCAAGGAAGAGCTCTGACTTAGCAGGAGTCTGAGCGGGCAGGAGGAGCAGGATGTTGTGATGGGACAGAGGTGGCAGCACGGGTGAGGCTGGCTGAGGTCTGGAGGAGCAGCAAGGTCCTAGGAGAAGAGGTGATGAGGAGACAGGGTGAAGTGGGAGCACCTTTTGCCCAGGTTGCGGGGTTGCTGATGGCCAAGACAAGGAGCCTGATGGTGGTAGGGATCCATGGAGCGAGCCTCCCGGGGCAGAAGAGTAGACAAGTAGAGGCCTTCCCTCCAGCTGGGCCTGAGGAATCAGCCACCTTGGGAGTGCTAGGCACTCTCACTCCAGCCTCTTGGGATTCCCTTATCAAGTTCCTGGTCTTCAGAGCAGACAGAAGTAAACTCTCCATACCCGGGAACACTCTGTGCACACTCCAGACAGGGGATGCTCCAGGCAGGAAGTTCCCTGCTGGCCATGATGCTACTGGCCATGGGGCTCCATGGCAGTGGACGCTTATCCCGCCCGTGCTTCCTGCAGGCCCACAGTCTGGAGGGGCCCAGCCGTCTCGATGCACTAAGTGGGGCAGGTCCATATTCCTATATTAGGCTCTCTGGGGCTGATATGTGTTCCCGGGAGCCTCAGGGTGTCTTAATGTGCCTGCAGCTAGGGTCAGCTGACATCCCAGGGCCATTGCCAAGAGTCAAAGTCAAAGAAGCATAATTGACACAGATGTCTTTTAATGCTCGGCTTACATGTTAGGAACAACCAAGAAATCACTCCCAAACTTTAATTCTGGTCAGTGTGTTACCAGCTTGATTTTTGCTGCATTCAGACTCTTACTGTTCTCTTTCTCAAAAGACCCAAAAGGTCCTCCAAGGCATTCCTGTGCCATCACTGTGATTCTGCTCCAGGGTCAGGGGCCCCCTGAAAGCCCCAGTCCCCAGCCCTTGGTGGCTTCCTACCTCCTTTAGGCCCGTGAGACTGCTGCAGGTGACCTCTACCCGCCTATCCCTGGCAAGGTTGGGGCACCCAGTTGTACCTGTCCAAGATTATTCCTCGTGTTTTGTAGGGTTTGGTCTGCGGGCCTCTAAAGACATCGGAAAGCAAAGGTATTCACCACAGGAATGTTTCCACGGAAGGCATCTTTTATTCTTCCATCTCCCGCTTTGATACTTCCCTTTTGGTTCAGTCTAGTATTTAAGCTTGTGGGTTTTTTCCCCTGGCTTTTTAGGTTGTGATGATGTTTGAGTTTTAACCTTTCCACCTCCATTTACCACCCTGCCTTGTCAGTAGGTATAATAGTCAAAACCCTGTTGATAAGGAAAAATATGCAAGATAGGAGTGTCTGCCTGCATAGATCTCTCCCAGCAGAAAGGAAGGTTATCAGTTCCTGCAATTCTTAGTGTACACATCTCAGCTTAGAGAGTTGCTACTTTTGTTTCTAGGTGGGAAAATGCTTAAAGCACTTGTGATGGAGGGTGGATGAGCAGAGATCAGCAAGGATTACCACTTGCTGTTTGACCTTATCTTCACAGTAATGATGTGAAGGACCCTGTAGTCTTTTGCAGCCCTCTCCCTGCCTCCACAGTCGTAAGGATGTGTGTGGTTCCTATGAGCCAGGCAAGGGTTGTGGACCACTTGGGTGGAACTTGATACAATGTAGCCCAAGTGTGCTACAGATTGCTTCAGTGGGTTAGGGTTGGGGTTGGGGCTTGGACACACTGGAATGGGTCATGTTCAGCTACTCTTCTTTTACTGCTGAGAGATTAATTTTGATATGAACTGCTATTTCCTGAATAATACCAGAGGTTTTGCAGAAAAGGGAAGAGATTATTTTCAAAGTCATTAGAAGTCCTAAGCTGTATCTTTGTTTTTTTGTTTTTTGTTTTATTTTTTTTTGGTACTGGGGATCAGAATCAGGTCCTTGCACGTGCGCAGCAGGCAGTGAAACCACTGAGCTAAATCTCCGGCCCTAAGCTATATCTTTGGACTGCCAAGAACTTCCCCCTCTGCAGCCTAAATATCTCTGCCCCCAGTCTCTCCTGGTGTTCCAGCTCTGCATATGGGACCAGGGAGTGCGCTGCAGCTGAGAGCTCTGGGGAGAGCTACAGTAGGCAAGGGCAGGGCTGGGCCTCTCTGGTCCAGGCTCCTGTGCCATGAGTGGAGGAGATCCTTCCTCACAGGTGATTGTGGTGTCAGAGGCAGTGACAGCTGGGAAAGCCTTTGGCAAGAGTAGGGACGCATAGGATGTGTGTCCCCATGGGAATGGTGCTGGGCCTGGCCCTCCGGGGAGGCTCTGGGCCTCTTCAGACTCCTCACTGTGTTTTGGAGGAGACTTGTCTTCAGCAGGACATGGCAGAGGGAGGTGATGGGAGATGCTTCATGCACAGCTGCTCTTGCCCAGGCCACTGGGGCTCTCATTTCAGGATCCCTGGGCTCCTTGATGTGCTTGGGCAGGGCTCCCCACTCTCTCATAGCTTCCTGCCTGCCCTCACCGTCCGGGGCACAGTACATCACACAGGGGTGGTGTCAGCACCAGATCCTGTTCTGTGTCAAGATTTAATCAGGTGGGCCTGGGCTTGCCGCTTTAAGTAGAGTTGGAAAGGAACCCCAAGTTGCTGTGCCTTGCTTTCAACAGCTGTCTTCAGGGTTGGAGCACTGGGTCCTCGACCCAGAGAAGAGTCCTCGACACTGGCAGCTCTGCCCGTGTTCTCCCACTGTCCTTGTTGCTAAGTCCCCCAGTCCTGCTCCCAAGTGTGCAGGGGCTCATTTCTTTATGGATACTGCTCAGCTCCTAACTTGTGTGTGGAGCTCATGCAGCTCACAGACACCAGGTCCACAGGCCCGTCCCTCAAATCGTCCCCTCCTATGAGGAGGAGGTGACCTTGGCCCAGCAAGCATGGTCCCAGAGATTTGCTTTTCTGTTTTCGGAAGGCATTTCCTTCCCCTCTGCCTTTATAGAGGCTGCAGAATGAAACCACACATACATAAATGTATGCCACTGAGGATCAAGCCTTGTTGCCAGGCAACTGGCAGCTTTTAGGTCTTTTGACATTCTTCTGGTAACTCAGTCTTATTTTATAAAAATAGAAAACAGTCAGAGCATTTCCTGGATAAGCCAATTAATACGATCAGGTTGTAAGTACGTCAGCATGTAAATCAGTTGCCCTGGTCTTGTCTTCTTCATGCACTTTATCCTGCACATCAGGTTTCTCAACCACTGTGGTAAATTCCTTCAAATCTGTTTAAGGATCTCACAAAGACTTTTCCCCCTGACATGTTTATGAAGCCAACTGATCCAAGGGATCCAACACCAGCTTTACTGGAAAATAGTATTAGGAGGAAGTGTCCCTCTGGTCCCTTGCTGGAGCGGTTGCCATGGAAACTGGCTGAGAGGTTGGGAATTGTAAGCTTGGGGTCACCATTGAAGGAATTTAAGGGAAGGTCAGATCTGCCTTTTGAGAACTATCAGTTTGGCTGCAATGCCAGGCTTGCACTGGAAGGACCTGAGAGGAGAGGAGGTAAGAGGAGGTTCGCCCCAGTAACCGCCACAGCCTTCAGGGGGCGGAGGGGAGAAGAATCTGGAGATTTCTGCTATTTCAGCACACAGGCAGAAGTTTGAGGCAGAGAAGCAGCTCACCTGTGCTGTGTGAGGAGAAGCCAGAGTGAATGTTGTGTTGCGCACAGGGAGGCACTGAGTGTGGCTTGTGTTGGAAACGTGCAGTGGCAGTGTGTGGGGCTTGGTAGGGAGATATTGAAGTCAGGCTAGGAGTTGGATGTGGACTCCAGGTGGGGTGAACAGCTGTGAGCTTAGGAGAGGAGAGGACGCCTGTGAGTCAGGACTCAGGGTGGCCTGGGGCTCTTGTCTGACTGTTCCTGCTGGGGCTGCTCCCAGAAGAGGGAGCAGCAGGGTGTGAGACACCCCCCGCCCCGCTGTGGCCCCACTGTAGGCCTCATGAGACAGCCCCTAGGATGGGTGCAGGCGCAGGAATTGGCAGCGCCCCTCATTTATGGGCTTGGAATTGTGGAGCAAGGACCTCATTCCTGAGTCTGTTCAGGGCAGCATTCTTGCATGCCAGAGAGTGCTAGGAATCCCATCACCACATTCCTGCTGTCTTCACTTTCCCTCCCCAGAAACCAGCCCTGTCCCGGTGCTCTGGGGCCATTTCTCAGGAGGGTGCTTGCCTTCCTTGCCCAGGTCTTGGCTTTGTGGAATAAGAGTTTGAGATGCTTGGGCAGGTCCCTTTCCACCCTTCCAGAGAGTCAGCTGGGGTGGGTGGTGTCAGGGCAGGAAGGGAGCACCAGCCTCAGCCTTTGTCTCTTTCTTCCCCCAAGAGTCACCCACTCCACTTTCTCCCAGGAGTCAGCCACAGGACGCAGAGCACCAAGGCCCCAGCAGCCAGTGCCGCCTGCATCCTCCCTGCAGTCTCGGGCCCAGGGCTTCCCCTTCCGCAGGACCTGCTCTTAGAAGTCCTCAGTGCCTCTTCCACACCCAGGCTTGCTTGATCTTCTGGATCCCCTTCCTGAACGTGCACTCTACCTTCAGGTTCCAGGTTCTCATTGCTATCCGTGCATCTCTCCCAGCCCGCAGCCCTGGGCCTCTGTCTCCTCCACTCGGTTCTCTAGTGGTTTCACTTTCCCCGTACTTTTCAGAGCTTTTAACTATATTCTCCCCATAGATCCCATATGCAGGGTGTGCTTCACCTTCCTAACAAAACCCCTGTGCTAGAGGACAGGGCAGGGCGTTCCTTGTCTCTTCTGCTGTTTCCTCCCCTCCTGGGACCTGGCTTGGGGCTCTTCATTGCAAGGAGCACATAGCTGCCTTCCCTGGCTTGCATATGCAGAGGGCTTGGGCACCTGCAACTCACATGCTGTCTGGCCCTGTGGGCACGCCTGTCCCCAGGCTGGGTGGCTGGGTGTTTAGCTGCTTAATACATGCAACGTCGGAGGTAGCCCTGCCTGCGGTTGCTCCTTTCTTGCTGTTTGTGTCACTGTTCTTCTTTAAGCACCAGAGAAACCTTAAGTCCTACAGGAGATGTGGGATGTATTTTTAGACAATTCTTTTATGCCAAGTCTCAGCTTTGTCTTAGTGTTGTTGAATGCGGTTGGCCCTTCTTCTCTTTCAAGCCTAAAGGTAATAATACCCAGATGGAAACATTCTACCAGCCTTTCTGTTAGTTTTTCACCTGAACACATCACAGAGATTGAATTCAGTAATTCCATCAGTCCTTTTTATAAAACTGGGCATTTGTTGTTTAAAGCCAGAAGTGCAACTGTTCTGTTACTGTGCTGCAGAAAATGTGTTGGGTAGAACAAAAGCTCGTTCACAATTTTGTACAAAGTAAACTTGTGGCACTACAGGTCTACTTAGTGACACAAAGAATAGCAAGGTATACAAATGCTGCTCGACTTATGATAGGGTTACATCCTGCCAAGCCCATCAGAAATTGAAAGCCTAAGTCGAAAATACATTGCATTCTCCTAGTCCGCTGAACACCACAGTGCAGCTCAGCCTGCCTTATGGGCTCAGAAAACTTACATTAGCCTATAGTGAGTAAAGTCACCTAAGACAATGCATATTTCGGAGTCCAGCATTGAGAGTCTCATGTCATTTATTGAACACCTAGCTGAAGTGAGAACAGAATGGTTACATGGGTTAATATACACTGAAGTGCAGTTTTTACTGAACTCATCTTTTTTACGCCATCCTAAATTTTAAAAATTATAAGCCAGGAGCATCTTACAGTGTTGCTTACCATAAGGTACATGAACCACACCAAAAGTCAATGACTGTATCCTCTCTCTTATTCATTCCCTCTTCTGAGCATGTGTGTGTGTGTGTGCACGTGCACACGTGTGCCTGTGTCCCTCCATGTATAGATTTATGAGTCCACCTGGGAGACACACTGGGGGACCTGGTATAGTGTCTTCATGCTTTATGTCCATACACAGTGGATAGAGACATAGGAGCACTAGGAGCCTTCAGTAGTCTGTGTGTGGAGGTGGAGACCGTGGAGCCTGTGGAGCTCCTGGCACAGAGTCGTCAGAATGCTCCCTGGCTGCATGTGTCCAGAGAACTCAGCCAGGTGGAGTTAGTGCCTGGTGCTCAGTCATTTGATGTTAACAACATGCCATTTGACTCTATTGGACAGTAACCCCTCGTCTGATACTTCTCTTTTTACCCCTCCTGGTCTCCTGCTTCCTGGGAAGAGAGAATCACAGCGAGATCGAGCGGCGCAGGCGGAACAAAATGACCCAGTACATCACGGAGCTCTCCGACATGGTCCCCACCTGCAGTGCGCTGGCCCGGAAGCCAGACAAGCTCACCATCCTGCGCATGGCTGTCTCGCACATGAAGTCCATGAGGGGCACGGGGAACAAATCCACAGACGGGGCCTACAAGCCTTCCTTCCTCACCGAGCAGGTGCCTGCTCAGCACTCGTCTGTAGCATACTCCTGGGAAGAGGGTAGAGTCACAGCTTCAGTATGCTGTAACGTGGGGAGGTGGGGTTCAAGGCTGGGGAAAGGAGGAAGCCAAGAAACCTTGCTTCCGCTTTTCAGCAAGAAGTGCTTTTCAGGAGCCTCTGGTCTTTTCATCTTCTGTTTAATATAGTTCCCATGTACCTCCGTGAGATGTCCCAGAAAATATGTGCTGTGCATTGGAATAACAAGCTTAGAAGGTGACATGGAAGAAGTCAGTGGGAACAGAGCCCTATGTGCCAGGATGGCAGTGATGGTGACCACCCCCCCCCACGGTCTCACAATTACAGTGGTAACAGTGAGGTAGCAGGATTGTCACAGCTAGCAGTACAAGGGACCTGCAGTGCCTGTTTAGGGTCAGATCTTTTTGTACATCATTTTATTTCCTCCTCATCCTAGGCCGGTGGAGAAGCCAGTGTTATTCATCCCTGTTTTATAGATGAGAAAGTTGAGGCTTGGAAAGAATCAACAAATTGCCAAAGGTGAATCAGCTGTTTCTGAAGGAGCCAGGAGTTGATTCAAGGAGATGGAGGTTGGAGCCCAAAGCCATATAGTTAACACCTGTGCTGGTCTTTGGCTCTAGGGAAGAGACACATGAAGTAGCAAGATAGTATTCTGTCAGTGGAGTCACATGAGCCAGAAGTCCGTATTCTTCCAGGAAGTGGTGGCCACAGGGCAAGTCAACCAAATATCTAAGCTTCCCTTCCTTATCTGTGCAATGAATGTGAAGCTTTCGAGCTCCGAAAGCTTCTGCATGATAAATGAAATGACAGATTTGAAAAGACTGTGTACAGTGCAGGGGTAAAGGCAGAATAATATAGTTGTCAGGAAGTGTAGTTAGGAAATATGAGAGCTTGAAGAGTATAGAATCTGAGGAATGGGGCGCTTAACAAGCCAAGAGCAAGGGGCCAGAGTGGAGCAGAGCAGAAGGGCCCTGATGCCATTGCAGACTGATGCTCAGGATGGAGACAGCATGAGCATTCTGGGGAGGAGCCACAAAATGTGCAGAGACAGGGAGGTGGATTTTACAAGGGACAGTGTTGCACAGAGCCTCAGAGGGAGGAATGAAAACATTCAACAAATAACGTATTCTGTGGCACTGAGAATGCGTTCACATCGTGGGAGTAGGTGTACACAAAGACCATAGAAGAGAACCAGCATTTGTGACTGTCTGTTCTGTTAGGCAGTTAGTAAGTGCTTCATCTGCTTCATCCCTACGGAATCCCCCGAGGCCCTGTGACCCCTCATCCATAGCTGTCCAGATGGTGTGGCAGTGGCCACATTGGCCCTTGGGGGACATGGAGCATGGTGGTGCAGGGCAGGGGCTTCAAGCCTCATTTCCACCTCCATACAAATGAATTCCATGGTGGCTCCCAGGCTCTGTGGATGTAGTGAGGAAGCAACACGGGTCAACTGCGTCACACAGGGCTTGGAGAGGAACCAGACAGAAATGTACTGAGCATTGCTAACCAGTAGGGCAGTAGAAAGCTTTTTCTCTACATTTATTTCTTACAAAACTTTTGCAGGGACAATATTTGAAATGACTCTCTCTGACCACCTACAGTGGCATGACCACAGTGGAGTGGAAGCCACTTGAGTCCTACCTGTGTTTCTCTCTTGCTCAACTAGATGATGATAACAGACTGTTTATGGAGTACATACTGTGCATAGGCCCTTGCTAAATCCTTCACTACAGGAGCTTATTTAATCTCCCCATGTCTCACTGACAATAAAACTGCAAATAGCAGAAGCTGCAGATGTTAAAGTATGGAAGAGGCAGGATGAGCCTTCTTTTACTCCTAGCCCTTGCTCTTAGCCCCTATTTCTGTTAACTGAGGAGGGAGGCTGGGAAGGTTCTGGCCTAAAACACAGAACCTTGGATTTGAGATGAACTCAGAAAAATGACAAGTGAAGGCGAGGGTGGGCCTATCCATAGGCCTTTCCTGATCCTTGCAAACTGGATGCCAACATCAATTCATCAGTGAAGCCATTCAGCCCTCCCTGTGACAGAGCTCTCTGCTTACCCAGACAGCCCATCCACCTTTAAAACCGGCTCTTCCTGTTGGGAAGATCTTCCTTATATCCAAAATAAAATTGCCGACCCAGTCCTCTGACTAAGTGTCTAGGAGACACAACAGAAGTGCAAAGGATGGGAAGTGGGCAAAATAAACTTTTCCTGGAAAAATGCTTGTGTAGTCTGCTTCCTCCCGAGTTTCTCAGGCTGAGGAGGTTTTCATTCTTCCCTGGCCCAGCACTTAGAGACATTCACAAAGCTCCCGTGGTCCTGCGGTCCTGCTCCCAGCAGGTTGGCATCTTCTCATGTGCTTCTTGGACCTGCTGTGGCTGAGGGCTTAGGGCAGGGCCAGAAGCTCCAGCTTGGTGACTGCAGCAGGAGCCTTTGTCTCTGGAAGCTGCACAGGCAGGTAGACAAAAGGACTACTCTGGTGTCTGGTGTAAACATCAGGGCCTCTTTCATATCCACCTGGGACACTGAGGGTCCTCTTACATCAGGTGTAGACATGAGGGGATCCTCTTGTATCCAGAGCCAGTGCTCAGCTTAGATCTGCAGGAGGAGGGGGTTACGGAGAGTGTACTGTCATTGTGGCAGGCATATGGTGAGACATCCGGTCTCTCCTTTCTCCTTTACTGGTCCATTTTCCTTCCTTCTATAAGCATTTTCTGTGCCAATTGCTGAGTGCTGGGCCCCCCTGCAGCAGTGTTATGGTTGCACTTTCAATATGCAGGGACAACACTCATACCTGTGGGACCCTGCCCGCTATGGTGGTCACCAACCCCCACCCCCCCACCCATGCAACACTGGGGAAATGTCTCCCTAGGAGAGGGCTGTGTCTTAGGAATGGTGCATTTTTCTAGCTTATTTCTCAGTAAAATTGTACTATTTTCCTGTATTATTTGTGCAGTAGAACAAATATTGGAATAAAAGAAGCTAGAGGTTGCTAATAAGAAAATGTAATTGATTTGTATCTTCTGGAGTGTTGAGCTGATCACAGTTTTCCCTTCCCAGGAGCTGAAGCATCTCATTCTGGAAGCCGCTGATGGTTTTCTGTTCGTTGTGGCAGCTGAGACAGGGCGAGTGATCTACGTGTCTGACTCAGTAACACCTGTTCTGAACCAGCCCCAGTCAGAGTGGTTTGGGAGCACCCTATATGAGCAGGTGCATCCTGATGATGTGGAGAAGCTGAGAGAGCAGCTGTGCACCTCAGAAAACTCGATGACAGGTTGGTGTGGCACTTCTATAGTACTGTCCAACTGCAGAAAAAATTCTCCCAGTAAACATGCTGGAAACATGGAGACATAAAAAGCTCTCTAAAGGTGAGAGAGTGTATTTTACTCAGCTCATTAATAGCTTCATTCACCCTGTACTTTTTTAAAAAAAATCTGTTTTTAAAGCATCCCTTTTCTGTATTTTACCTGCAATTACTGCACCTTGTCACTAGGAGTCCTCATTGCTACATTAGTCAGATCCACATACTCATGAAGCTGGTGCAGAAAGTGTGTGGTTATTTGTTGATAGATGTCCCTGGTATGTGTGTTTTGTGTATTCCTATATGGTTTGGTTGCGCTGCGTACAGTTCTGTGTTCATCTAGTAGTCCTCACAGATAAACACAAAATTCCCATTATCCTCAGATTGTTCCCTAATACAGTGGTACCTTGATTCACAAACTTAATTCTTTCCACGATTCTTATCACAAACCAAGTTGGACAAGAACCGAATCAAATTTTCCTATAAGGTCAGAATTAAACCTAACCTTTGAATTTGATTTGGTTCTCATCCAGTTCCATTTGCAACCAGAATTGTGAAAAGAATTAAGTTTGAGAACCAAGGTACCACCGTATATTAATCAAACAAATTTACATTTTCATAATGAGTTATAGATTTGTTGTATCATGACATGTGTGTTTTGCCTTCTGATGGTGGATTTGGGCCATGCTGTTTTCCCTGACCACACTGGGGGTGTTGGGTTCCTACTTTGCATCTGCCCACAGTGTCTGTCTGCATACTCTGTACACAGTAGGCCTCCAGCAGAAGCTTTGCGGAGTGAGTCTGTGTTTCCCTCATTGTATTCTGCTTATGTTGATGAATCAAATACCACAGCCTGAGTCACTTAAACAACAGAAATTTATTTTCTCATAGTTCTTGACATAGGAAGTCCAATAATGGCTTAGTCTATTTATGCTGCTATAACAAAATACTATTAACTGGGTAGCTTTTAAGTGACAAAAATTTATTTTTTCACAGTTCTAGAAATTAGGAAGTCTGTGATGAAGCCACTAGTAAATTTAGTGTCTGGTAAGGGCCCATGATTTGGTTCACAGGTGGCACTTCTTGTTTTGTCCTTACAGGGTAGAAGGGCTTTGTCACTGTCTTGGTCACTTTCTTGCTGCTAATGCAGAATTCTCAACACTCACAACTGAAAGAAGGAGAAGCTTATTTTGGCTCACACTTGAAGTCCGTGGTTGGCTGGCTGCAAAGCAGGAAGGGCATGGTGTCAGGGTTGGGTAGAGGAATGCTGCCCACATCATGGTGGACAGGAAGCAGGAGAATTGCGGAGCTAGGGAAGGAAATAAACCCTTCCAGATCATCTGCCTCTTCTGGCCAGACCCCACCTCCCATCAGCACATTCAGCTGTGGATTCTGTCCATGGATCCAAGCACCTTCCACACACATGAGACTTTGGGGGGCATTTTAGATCTAGACCATAGTGCCATCTGGGGCCCCTTTTATAAGGGTACTAATTACAGTCATGAGGGCACCACTCTCATGACTTGACTTAATCACCTCCCCCAAACCTACCTTCTACTACCAATACCTTAGGGGTTAGGATTTCAAAGTAAGAATTTGAAATCAGAAGTTCAGTTCATCGTGCTGGTGACCGTAGTGCTGGCAGGGCAGGAGTCTCCTGAGAACTCCCTCTTCTGTTTCCAGGTGGCCACATTTTCTTTGAGCCCTCACATGGTCTTTCTTCTCTGTGCACATCCCTGGTGTCTCTTCCTCTTACAGGGACACCAGTCACACTGGATCAGGGCCACTCTGACCTCATTTTACCTTAATTATCTCTCTCAGGGCCTTCCTCCAAAGACAGTTACATTCTGAAGTTCTAGAGGTTAGGACTTCAACATGTGATTTCGGGAGTTCACAATTCCACCCATAACACTTAGGATAGGACTGAGTCAGAGGTGACAAAGGTGGCACAAGTGCAGCTGTTTCTGAAGGATAATAGCAGTTTCCTCAGTGCTGATGATCAGTGATGCACAGCAGGAGGAAGAGGACAGAAGATTAGGATGTGAGGACAGGGTCTGCCTTACTGTTTCCTCATGGGGTGACACGTCTGGCAGTGAGCCCCATGTTTTCATAAAACACCAATGCTAACACAAACCCAGAAAGACTTGTCCTGCCGCCCAGTCTTGGGGCTAGTTAAAGAACTCCACATAGAAGTCCTAAAGAATGCACATGGCAGAGTTAGGTATTGGGGAAGGAGAGAGAAGGGAAAGCAAGTCACCCAGAAAGTGTTGTTGACAGCTGAAAACACCTCCTCTGGAAAGAGAGAGCTATCTTTCTCCAGAAGGACAGCTGCAGGATGTGGCTTCCTGAAAGCCCTGATGAGCCACGTGGCAGGGGAAGTGGTTGTCAGGGGTGGGTCAGGGTAGGTGGATGTTTCTGTGTGTGAAGTCTTAGTGTGTCTGGCAAAGTTCACAGGGCAGTGAGGCACACTGACCATAAATGCCTTTGGAAGAGGTGATGGGCAGTGGCCACAGCAGCCAGAGCTGGTGCAAAGAGGGGCAGTTCTCCAAGATGACAGAGGAGACCCGAGGTCAGTTTGCCCCCTCTGGTTGGCCTCCTCTTGAGAGCAGCAAGAGAGGACTGGATAAGCTGGTTCCGATCCTTAATATGGAAGAGGGCAGGGTCCCTGGAGGCCACAGGGTGCTAGGTCACTCTGCCAGGACACACAGCATGAAAGCTCATTGAGCTGGAAGGAGATTAGAAGAGCTTCCTGCAGCAGGGTTTCCTTGCTGGTGGCCTTGGGGGTTTTGGGGTGTTCAAGATGGGTGGGGCTTGTCTTTGTGAGCAGCCAGCCCAAGGGTGGGCGCAATGCAAACTCTGTTAGAGAGCTGCAAGCATGACTTGTGGCCTGTGTGGTTGGGCTAGGCTCTCAGACCTTCCGGTCCCTGTTCCTGGCCTTTGTGGTTTCAGGTGGGGAAATAGAGGATGTGTTGATTTGGCTATTTAAGGTGCCCCTCTCCCAGCATTGTGCTGAAGTGCAGTCCAGTGGTCCTAGGCTATGGTGTGCTTTATGGAGGAAACAGGTGCATGTTAGGCAGGCTTCATTCAGGCAGGAGTGACAGTGCTGTTGCCTGTGAGTGTGGAGTCAGCAAGACAACAGTGTGTGTGAAATAAGGTGTCTTTAAACAGAAGCACTCAGACAAGGTGCTTCTGGGTGACCAGAAGTTGGCAGGGACTTAACCCTGTGTTTCCCCTGGGAGCAGTGGTTCTGTATTTACTAATTCAGTGTCCATGGCAACTTTATAAATCGCAGTTCCCTGGGATGATGAGAATCTGCTGTGTGCCTTCTCTTCCATTCTGCCAGGCAGGCAAAAGGTGCTTAAATGCAGCCCTGTCTGTATGTGCGGCCTGAGGCTGAACACAATGACCTCCTGCAGACGCTCCTGCAGATGTCCTAGGGCTGCCTCTCTGCCCTTTGCTTGGACCCCTGTCCTGCCCTGACCAATACTGGGATCTAGGGAAACCCTGATCCAGGGTTGAGGCCAGCTTCTCCACCCAGGACCCTGGCACCCAGGACCCTGGCACCCAGGAGCTAGGAAAAGTGATTTCCAGGAGGAAGTCAGTGCTGTCACCCAGAAGAAGAGACACTAGGCTGGCAGATTGGCAGGTATGCAGAGCCAGCCCAAGAGCCAGGCTCAGCCATGTTTGAGGTGCACTTGACAGGGAAGGATGGAATGTTCTAGAGACTGGGGGTGTCTTGGAACACTAGGACTGGGTGACAGGATTCTGAGCAGAAAGTGGAGTGGATGTCAGCCATGCAGAAGGCTGACAGAGATTAGATGAACGTGCTGCTGGGGGAGAAGATGCAGAACGAGTGATGGTGGATATCTGAGAGCCTTAGTCCTCTCAGTAGGGAAGGGACACGGCGGCCACCGAGAGACTCAAGGCGATGCAGATGATACAGGGCCACTGATGTAACAAGGTGTAGGGATGAGAGCCAGCAGAGGGCAGCATACAAACCACAGGCACATGGAGTGAGGTGATTATCTTCAGTATCTTCCTGTGGCTGAGCTCTGGGAAACCGAGAGCCTGGTGTACATAGGCAGAGGCGACTTGTTGGTGACCCCAGCCCCACAGCAGGAAGGAATTGTCCAGACTGTGTGGTCAGGAAGTGGAAGAAGATGATCATGAGCTCCTTAAGACAAGGTCCATTTGGCCATTTTCCCAGCATTGCACTGCTGCAGTTTGTTTTCACTGGGCTCTCCTTGTATTCTGAGAAGTGGGTCTGCATTTTGGTTCAGCTTAGAGAATAACTTTGAAATAGTTGGAACAGTTCAACAGCAGAAAGTGTGCCAGCAGAAGCTGAATTCCTCCCTCCCTCCCTTCCTTCCTTTTCTTTCTTTTCCTTTTTCTCCCTCCTCTCTCCCTTTCTCCCTCTTTCTCCCTTCTTTCCTTCTTTCTTTGCTTTCATGTTTTTGGTGATACTGGGAGTTAATCCAAGGCCTTCACAGTGAGCTGCATGTCAAGACTTTTTTTTTTTGAGGCAAGTTCTTACTAAGCCACTAAGTTGCCTACACTAGGCTTGAATTTGCAATACTCCTGCCTTAGCCTTCCAGATCTGAGATTACAGGCATGCACCATCACATCTGGCTCCTTCTTTTTTTTTTTTTTTTTTTTTATCCAATGACTACTTCATTTAACCATTTATTCGTCTGTTCAACAAGTACCTGTTCCACATGACTGTGGAAAGGTCTGTGGGATGCAGCTGACCTCATGATCAATGCTCGTATCCTTCACTCCTAAGAGCTCCCACCTGTTGTGAATGAATGAACCCCCATTTTCCAACCACTCCAGCCCAGCTTCTGCGTGATAATTTGGGGAGAGCCTGAGCCAGGTTGGTCCCCAGGGCCTTTAGTTGGAAAGCCCCATGCATGAATCACACATCCCAATCTCAGCTGTGATTAAGCTTTCCTATCTCCCCGAGAGCTCTGTCG